CGACCATTTCTGGCCGGCAACTTTCAGCGTCATTAAGCCGCTGCGCCACCGCGTCCCCCGCTTTTGAAGCATATGCAATATTAATTACTTAATATTCATAATATAGGCCAATCCATAAAGATACTTTAGAGATTACAGCAGGTCCAAAATATGCAAATATAGATCTATGAGTTCTCAAAGATCAGAGTGTAACAATGCAATTGTTACTGTAGATGCAGACTGGTTACAGTCACAGTCAAAGGCATCAAAGTGCTAATTATGATCTTTGAAGCCCTGAGCAGCTTAAGACTAGAATAGCCACAGGACTGCCTGTTCTTGAATGAACTTAGATAGACATTCTCTTGAGCTCTCACTCCCTGTGAAGCCAGATTAATGACCATATGGAAGCATATCCTTTCAGTAGCTACTCCCATTTTGTGGAATTCCGTAAGTTTTTGAACTGAAAACTTGTTTTCAGATAGGAGCTGAAAACGTTCATGGTCTTTGACGGCATTGTTTAGTCAGTCCTAGTAATTCTTATCTTTCTGTTCAATTGATGTTTTAAAGGTATATATTATATTTTTTACTATGATTTAAACAATTGTTATAATTTTAATTCTGTTCTTAATTCTCCTTTTACCTAGCTTTGAATGCATTTTAAATAGCAAATGAGATGGAAATGTTTTAAAGAAATAAATAAGAGATGCAAACCTGCAGAATGTTTTATTTTAAAAAAAAAATGTTGATAAAGCTTATCCTTATAATCATATTATTATTGTTTTTCAGCAAAGAGATAAGTTCAATTAGAAGATACGTGGTTTTTAAAATTTTATTGTTTTTAACCTATAAAGTGGAAGAGAAAAACATAACCAAATACAAAAATAAAATAAGAATTAAAAAACACAGAGAAACTGAAAAAAGAGGAAAAGGAAAAAATGTTCAAATAATTATATATAAAACAGAAACTGGAGTCTTAAACCACAAGCTAAATTTTTATTACATAGAGTAACATTTCTACAACATTGATAAAAGGCCAGCTCATAACCAGCCAGCAGTTTTAGATCAGATGTATTAGAGTCTTTCTGCTGGAATAAAATGCCAAGATATTAAGAGAATCAATAACTTTCTAAAAGTGCCAGTAATGATTTTTGAGATGGATTATTTAAATTCCACAAAGCACTAGTGATCAGAATATAAGCCCAGTAATACAAGTGTACTTTGGGGAAGTTAAAATCTCTGTCTTCATATAAAATATATAATTTGAAAAAGAAAATCCAAGGATCCATCCCATAAGAACGTTCTTGGTATCTTATCACAGAAATATTTGTTTCCTTATTTCTTTCTTTATTAAATATATATCCTGACTTTCATCAGGAATTCAAGGTAGCATACATAGCACTCCTCTTTTCCTCCACAACAGCCCTGTGAAGTAGGTTAGGCTGAGAGAAGGTGACTGAGAGTCATCCAAATACCTTCCGTGGATAAGGATGAGCTAGTTTTCCTATTAGCCCCACACTTGAATCACTGCCAACAAAGAAGTATTTCTGGTAATATATTTATTGTAAGATGTTTAAATGAGTTTTTAAAAATGTAAGAAAACTTAGAACCAGTAAGATATACATTAGACTTACTCCAATTAATGGAATAACCTGAAAAATTACTAATGTACTGTACAATAGAGTACACTAGCAATTATCAACAAGGCATAGAACGTTATTATCATATACAGTAATAATAATTTATGCTCCACTCTAGCCAGCTGAATACACAAAATGTATTTTTAAATAAGATTGGCCAGTGGTTCCAAAGTCAGAATAAAGACAGGAGGAGAAAGTGCACATTCTTGACAAGTTGCACATAACATTCTGATGGGTGAAGAAATAATTCCTTGATAAACTAGTGTCAGCCTTTTGAGATAAGCTAGTACAAGAAACAGACACAGGGATACCTGTGTCTAAGGGATACTTATTGTAGTAAGGTAGAATAAAGGAATGTTGAAAGCTTGTCTAAATTCCTCTCTGATCCATTTTAAAATCAGTGTATGGTTGTTCTTTTTTGTGTTTTCTTCCATTTCAGGAATGTAATTTCTTCTCCAAGTCCCCTATTAATGGTTCTGTCCTTCCTTCCTCCATTAATGGCTCCCTCATACGTTTCCCAAGATCAGTTCTAAATTCCTTTACACAGAAATGATGGATTTGAGTACTGTATTTTAATATATTCAACAATGCATTCAATAATAATGAAACTAAAGTTGCTGTCAAAATGTTAGCACCCACATTTAACAAAGAAATTGGCCAATAACTTTCACATTCCACAGGATCTTTACCCACTTTCAGAACTTCCTATATAAAAATATTACTGAAGGAAGAAGGAAAGCTTTACTCAAAAAGGCATCTTTGTAAACTCCCAGCAATGTAGGAGCAAGAAAATCAACAAATAATTTCTATCAGTTTATAGAAAAACAATAAGGATCATAGCTGGGATTGTTTTGTTTTTACATAAATTCAAAAATTGAGCTACCATTGTCTTATAGGAAAAAACACGAATCCATAAATTGTCTGAGCAGGTAGAGTATGGGATTTTTGGCTGAAGCATATAGTTCCTTTTCTCCTTCCTCAGATATTAGTGCATGTCAGTGAAATATGGGTGGAAAGTTAAGTTGGTGATGGGTGAGTGTGCTTATTTATTGTGGTTTCAGTGTTAATAGTCTCTGGTTGACATTGCTTTGCACAGAAGAGAAACTACAGCAAACATATATAAGTTCAACCAGCTTTGCCATTGACTAAGTGAGGCAGTTACCTCAGGTGGCAGATCAACAATGGCAGCCTTCCAGGTGATTCTCGAAACCATGTATGACAGAACACTAACCTGCTCCTCTTGATAGTGCTCAGCTACAAGTTCATTCTGTTTCTGTACATTAATTGGGATGAAAGGGTGATGTCCATTGTGTCAGGTTGTCTGTTTTATCTTTCTTCTAAATCTATAAACCATCATTATTCCAAGAACTCAAGGCATTTTAATCTCACTGCAGCCCTGTGAACTAGTGCCAAAATAGTGCAAAAATCACACAATGATCTTCATGGCTCATTTGGGATTTGAATCTATAGCTTCCTAGTCCAAACACTACTTTACGCTTATATATGAGAATAGATACGGAAGTTACTCATGGATTCCCAATATCCATTCATTTGTTCTGGAGAAGAGAAAAGGCTGCAGGCGAACTTTTCCAAAAATTTTGCATCTAAGAATTTAGAAATGTCAGTAGCTGTTCATATTTGAGACTGTTTCTCCAAACTTGTATTGTGTTTTGAGATGAAATTACTGATTTCTGATTGCATTGTAAAACCTGTATGTTTTTCTAGTCTTCTAATAGAAAGATGACAAGGGCTGCTAGCAAGCTAAGTTTCAATTTAGTATAATTTATGAGTTATTTAGAAAATAATTTGAAAGTGTACATTTTAGAATATTAACATTACTTTGAAACTCAGTTTTGTGTTTCACAAATACTTTTTAAATACTTTTTATGTGCAGTATGGATGGTGCAGATCTCTGCTTTGAAATTGTAAAGAGAGCAGACGCTGGTTTTGTATACAGTGAAGCCGTAGCCAGGTATGTGTTCTTACTTTAATTTTGTGCTGGGAAGGATGAATAATAATTAACACTTATCTGATAGCTAATAATATAAACAGTACTGATTATTTTAAAGTCCAGAAAAGCTATATAGGTAGTCCTTGTTTAGCAACCACAATTGGAATTGGCAACTTGGTTGTTAAGTGAAGCGATCGCTAAGTAAAACCACAACTGTGCTTATGATCTTACTTCAGCTTTCCTTTGATTTACAGACCTGCAAAAGTCGTAAATGTGAGGATTGATTGCATAGTTACTTTTTCATCACCGTTGTAACTGCAAAGAGTTGCTAAATGAGGACTACCTGTATGCAATATAGTATTCTTTTTAAGAAGCTTAATATATGTTGAGGAAAGAAACTGAATTAAAACTAGTAATGTTTAAAAGACAAAGAGTGGATGGTATTATTTTAATTTCAATTCTCAATTGTTTTAAATATTTGTGACAAAATGTCTCAAAAGTTTATAATTGTACTATTATTAGCATCATCATTATCAGTTACACTTCTAAAGCTCCAATTAACAAAAGGGTTCAAGGCAAAGTGAAGAGCATTTAAATTAAGAGCGTAAATTAAGGCTAGGATCTGACCTAGATTTGATTAGCTCAATCTTTCTGTTTCTAGTTGTGGCTTGCAGGAAATTATAAGAGATAAAGTCAGTAGCACTGCCATGTTTGCCTCTTAGCAAGCTGTATTCAGAGGCACATTATTTTTGAGCACAGGGGTTTCATTAAATAATCATGAGTTATTGCACTGATAGACAAATTCATGTGAGACTGTTCTCTTTTAAAACCATCTAAGTAGATAGATAAACTTCAACATATAGTAACAAATTGTGTAAGTTGATCTGCATTATATTAGTTCAATGGAAGATGTTATGGGCTTAAATTTAGCTAAACAGGAGAGGAGTTGAATCCTATTGCTCTCATAACTAAATGTTATGCTATATTAACATGGGGGGTGTTCTTTTTCTGTTTTACAAAATAACACCAAAAATATTGGGAGTTTATGCCTTCTTAATTGTATTTATTTACTCATAAAATCTAGACAGAGCCTTTAACTTAGTTTAGCAATGTAAACAATGTTTTCAGTGTTCTAGACTAGTGGTTCTCACTATGGACCATATGGCCCCCCAGGGGGCCATGCCATATTTCTAGGAGTCCTTATTGCCTCTGCTAGGCATTTTATATCTTTAAGAATGTTGTTTGCTATTACTCAGTTATGTCTGCATAGAATTGTTTTTGTTAGCTATTACAAATACTTCGTCTTTATAATATAAAGACATATTATATAATACAGTTTAGACTAAGAAATAGTGCAGATGGTAAAACAGTTTTTTTCCAGGTAATAGTAACTATGTTGGGGATTACAAAGATAAATGAAGCTCACAAGGGAGCCATGAGCAAAAAAAGATTGAGAACTCCTGTTCTAGAGTACTGATAATCAGTATTTTTTATAATTGGGCATATCTGGAATTTTGAAAGTATGTTAGGGCATTCTCATAAAATGTTTATCATGGGAGAGGTTGCTATTATGAACCTATCCAATCACAAAAAATCATTTATCAGGAAGCACACTGAGGAAATTGTTGCCTTCTACCCTCTCTAGCTCCCAAGACACTTATCCTTTGTCTTTCTCTGAGCAAGTTAGTCCAGTTGCTAATAAAGCTTTTGATTGCAAGCCTTCACCATGTTTATTTTCTAAGAACACTTGTAGGGCATTTGTTGGGCAGGTGTTGGATGCAGAGGCATTCCTGTAAATAAAGATGATGTTAGAAGCTGATGCTTTGCTTTGCTGCATGCCAGCTTCCTATTTAATTAGAAAAAAAACCTTTATAATTCAAAGAAACATTAATTTAAAAAATGAAAAACAAATCTATGGGACAGGGAGTTTTTTTTGTCAAATAAATATAGGTAGAACTGTAATCCCATCTTGAGGCTACGTAGCTACTCATTGACTCTGAGTGGCTTACAAATAAGAAGCAATATATACCAAAGAAAACACAGCTGACCAGAAGAACAAAACTAAGCTAAACTAAAAGGGACTTCATAACCACCTTATCCCAAGGCTTTGGAGAACAACCACTTCTTTAGTAATTGTCAGAATGTCATAAGAATGGGGGCTATGAAAAACTCCGATATCATTCTAGAGGACAGGTGCTACAACTGAGTAGGTATGCCTCCTGGTCTTGTAAAATGACAGAGTTTGATGAACAGGACCAAAAGTGCACTCACTCGGCTTCATCACACCAGATGGGCAGAAACAATTGGAGATAGGGCCTGGCTATCTGAGGGAGCGCCTATGTCATGTCTTTGTCTATGCCTGTGCCTATGTCATATTTAAAGGTAATAATCAGCATCTTGAATTGCACCTGGAAGCCAAATGGTAACCAGTGAAGCAGTGGGGTCACGTGAGCATAACATGCTGCTCCCATCATTGCCTGCACCACTGCATTCTGGACCAGCTATAGTTATAGACTGCATTACAGTAATCCAGTTGTGAGATAGCCATAAATGACTGTCTGAAGAGTCTCCTGGCCCAGAAGAGGGTGCAGCTGGTATACCAGGCATACCTGTGCAAAGGCCCTCTTAGCCACAGCTGTTACCTGCTCTTCAAGTAGGAGCTGAGAGTCCAAGAGGATGTCCCAGATTGTACACGTCTCAGATGGAGAAGTGCCACCCCATTGAGAGTTAATAATGGAATATCTGGGGAACTGCAGGCTCAAGTAAACATAGCCACTTGTTTTGACAGGATTGAACCTGAGTCTGTTCCTCCCTATCCCGAACTGCACAGCCTCAAGGCACTGGGCTAGGACTTTGATGGCAACTGGATATCATCAGCATATTGGTGATACCTGACCCCAAACCTCATCACCATTGTTGAGGTAGCATCTACTGTTAAGCTTTAATGCCATTATTTCCCAACTGGGCTGATTCTATCCCTGCTCTCAGATGAATCTGAGTCCCCTTGGATTCAAGCAATACACAAAAAACTCTTATTATGTGGCCTCTCCCTTGACTCCCTATATTCTCTTGATTTCACTCAGGCTAGTAGAGCTATTAAGCCCAGAATTAAAGAGGACTTATCCCAAATTCTGTCCAAACTCAGTTTAACCATGTTAGGTGGAAACCAATCAATTACAACTCAACTCACTCATCTCTCCAGCCCAACAAAGGTTCTTCATTAGAGCCAGATATAATAGTCTACCTTCAATGCTTTTATATGAGAGATTCAATTAAACCCTCATGATTAACCTAACCCACTCCTGTGGTGATGGTTCAGTTGAATCCATTCTCCACGTGCTACTGCATTGCTCTTTCTACAATGATATCTTTCCTGTCTTGTTACATAGATGAAATTACCTTGAGGAACTTCATGTCAGCTTCCTCTTATCAGACAAGAAAAGCGCTATCATTCATAATGTAGCAAAGTTCTGTATAGTTGCTGTGAATGTATGCAAACACTAACTACCACATATAACTGACATCCCCATACTGATTCACTTATCTTATGGCTATGTGAATGGTTGGTTTGTTTCCTCTTCTCTCATTTCTGCATTTAGTTTATGTACCAATTTATCTGGTCACTGACCAAAATAAATACTAGCTATCTGACCCCAAACTGATGGATGACCTCACCCAGCAGTTTCATGTAGTTGTTAAACAGATGGGAAAGAGTACTGAACCCTGTGGCACTCACAAATGAGGGGCTGTGGGCATGATCACTTCTTACCCAGGAACACAGATTGGAACTGACCACAGAAAATGGGGAACCACTGTAAAACAGTGCCTCCCACCCCCAACTATTGAAGTTAGCCAAAAGTATAGCATAGTTGATGGTATCAAAAGTTGCTGAGACATCAAGGAGCACACGAACGGGCTCCACCCATGGGTCATCAGTAAATGCAACCAATGCAGTCTCTGTACTTAAACCCCAGATTGAAACCAGACTGAAATGGGTTCAGATAATCTACTTCTTCCAGGGACCTCTGGAGCTGAAGCTTGACCACCCTCTCCACCACCTTCCCTAAAAAGGAGAGGTTGGAGATTGGATAATAGTTAACCAAGACCATTGGGCCCAGTGATGACTCTTGAGAGGGTGCACCACAGCCTCCCTCACTCAAAGAGGCTGACACCACCACATGGACCCAACCACAGGTTCCTCCCAAGTGACTTTAACTGTCCAGGATGGACTTGAATCTAACAGGCAGGTGGTTGAGCTAACAGATTGGACAATCCTGTGCATAAATTTAAATAAACTTTTTAAAATAATGGCAGCATCATGAAGTTCCACAAAGGCGGAAGGTAAATGTCATGGGCATGATGGGATCATCATGAAAATACCATGACTTACATACTTGTATCATATGTCATGATACAGGTACATGGTTCTGGTATGTGCATGATGATATTATCATGCACATCCATTTTGATGCTCCTGGATGGGATAGAAATTTAAATATTTAGAAAGAAATTGCTGTTACACATGTTCTTTAAATAAATGCTAAATGTCAGGATCAAGGATCAAAATATTAAAAGGATTTTGGCAAGAAGCCCTTTATAATTGTCAAAATTTTCAGGAAATTTGGTTACTTCATGAAGTAACACTAAGAAAAGTTCAGAAATTGCTATTTTTAGATCCTAGACACAGCATTGGTCTTCAATATTTATATACTGCTACAGACTCCAATGTGTTTTTAAAAAAAACCTGAAAATCATGCATTCGCAATGCAGCTAAATACAGTAAAGCTGTGCAGTGCTTCAGATTTGAAGATATAAAAGTTCACTTATAGCACTTGTTGACAACTTAAACCAAACATGTTCTTTTCTGATGTTGTGTTGCAGCTATGGAAGACAGCCAAATGATCCTGGGGGTGGGGGGGCAGGAAACCAATTGTTTTAAGGAGTTGCCATTAGGTGCTGTGTGAGCACCTCCTTATATTCTGAAACATCTTTTTCCCATTGAACGTGGAGCTCTGTATACC